TCTCCATGGCAACCACACAGTTCTTCCACCATCTGCCACTTCTCCCTCTTCCTCCGCTACACATCATTGTGGTGCTTCCTCTTCTTCTTGTCCATCTATCCCTCCCTTCTCTCCTGCTTCCTCCTCCTCTTACTCTCAGGTCCACAGTGACAGCAAGCTAGACTTTGTGGGGGAGGGGCCACCAGGGTCTCCAGAACCTGAGCCAGTAAGGGACGTGGACTTGGACAAGAAAAAGATGGGTCAACAAAAGGTGAGTCTGCAGTGTGTATTTCTGTTGGGTCAAGTCTGTTATTAAATTAGCTGGAGTCATTGAAAATAAATGTTTTTGTCTACACAGAACTGAGCATATTAACCTCCATAGATGACAAACAACAACAAAATGATACCAATTAGCCTGCAGCACAGATGATGCTTTAAATATTATTGCATGTGTTAAAGGTTTGTAACCAAACTAGCATCGTGGCTGCAGAGGTGGTAGTGCCAGGTGGTCTCTTGGTCAGTCAGTCCATCACTTTGGTCCGGTTTGAAATACCTTAGCAATCTCTGGATGGATTGTCATGAGATCTGAATCCTAATGTTCTGGAGATCCCCTGACCTTTGCTCTAGTGCTACTGTGAGGTTGGAATTTGTGGTTTTAACTGAAATATCTCAAGTGCTACTGACTAAATACATTTCCATGAAATTTGACGAGGGAAAGCCAGGATAACTCCAAAAAGCAGCTGCTACACTGTCAATCAACCAATTAGCTGTGATTCCACTAGAAGTTTAAATAGATGGATAGATATAGATAGGGGCTTTATTGTCATTGTAGTTGTACAACAAAATTTGTTTGACAACTCTGTGAGCAGCTGAGCAGTGATTTAAAAAAAATCTAAATAAAACAGGATAGTTGCAATATAAATATAAGCAACAACGATAAACCCAACAGTAAATATACGGAATGGTATATGTGTACAGTGATGTTTGCGTGATGCGAAACAGTGCAGTAGTTAATGTCAGTAGGATGTAAGGTGCTAAGTGCATTAGCAGCAGCTTGGTGGGAAATGGGGTGGTGGTGGGTGGGAAACAGGTTGGTTATTACAGTTTTCAGTCTTTTGCAGCTGTGGGTGTGTGTGCATGAGGGACGGGGGTGTAACACAGGCTACAGCTCCAGGGAAGCAGCTGTTCCTTAGCCTGTTAGTGTGTGTCTTCATTGTCCTGTATCTTTTGCCCAAGGGCAGGGGGACAAACCGTCTGTAACCTGGATGAGCTGAGTCCTTAATGATGTTGTTAGTCCTCTGGTGTAAGTGGCTAGCATAAACTGTGTCCAAATTGAGGAGCTGAGTTCCCACAGTTCTCTGTGCAGTCTTGACTATCTGGGCCAGGTCTCTCTGGTTCTCTGCAGTGCAGCTGGTATACCACACCATAACACAGTGGCAGAGAATGCTCTCTATTGTGCTTCTGTAGAAGTTCACTAGGAGCTGAGAAAGGACTTTGGCTTTTTTAAGCTTCCTCAAGATAGAAGAAGAGCCTCTGCTCAGACTTCTTCACCAAGTAGAAGGTGTTAATGGTCCACGTCAGATCTTTTGTGACGTGCAGACCCAAAGATTTTGTCATTGACCTGTTCGACTTCCTCACCATTCATGTGAAGGGGGGGAGGTGATGTTTCCCTGGGCCTTCTGTATCAGTTCAACTATAGTGGTGTCATCAGCAAACTTCACTCTAGTGTTGGAGGAGTGGGTCGGGGTGCAGTCCTGGGTGAACAGGGTGAATAGTGAGAGTGGATGATGTGCAGTTGCCCACCCTGACATTTTGTGGTCTGTTAGTGAGGAAATCCAAAATCCAGGAGCAGAGTGTGGTGGTTAATCTCAGGTTGTTGAGCTGGTTTACCAGTTTATGGGGGACTGTTGCATTGAAAGCAGAACTAAAATCAACAAAGAGCATCCCGACATACAGTATGTGTTTGGATGCTCCAGATGGGTCAGGCCTGTATGAAGTGCAATTGAGATTGCGTCCTCTGTCAATCTGTTTCCACCGTAGGCAAACTGGTGGCTGTCCAGATTGGTGGAAATGCTGGCTTTGATGTGGGACAGAACAAGCCTTTAAGCCATTTAAAAAGATTTTTTTTATATATATATATATATCCAGTATCAGTGGCGGGCCATGCATTTGGTACCTGGGCCTTCAGTGGAGACTTACCCGACTTAGTTCACCTCTTAATACCACCACTGTACGTCGCAATTATAGAAACCATCAATGCTATACAAAAACGCAATATAATAAAGTGTGGCATTACAGAGAGAGAGGTATTTCGCGTATAGAGGGTGAATACCGTTTTTACTAAAGCAAGAAACCCAGTTAAGACAACTCCAAAACCTCTACACTACAACCGCAACTGTGATCTCTGTGTTTCAGTTCCATCGTAAGCCCTTTTCTAGTTTTGCTCTGACCAACCAATCAGAGGACGGAAAAATGCTGACATCATTGTGGGCCAGCTAGCTGGCCCTGTGAGGCAAATTTGAAATCTGATTGGTTAAAGAAACAGTCCCATTGCTAATATAGTTTAAGTTATATGGGCCAGCACTGCTGATTCTGAAGGCCCTGGGCAGATTAGATTGACATGGCAACACATAGAGGCTGAAATCTGATTGGACGAAATGAAGAGAACAGACTGTTGGGAATAAATTAATACAATTTCATGGAACAAATATTAGAATTGCAGTTGTAAATGTAGGTCAGTGCTTCTAATAGTGTTTAGGCCAGCAGAGAAGGCCTTGCTGGCCCTGACGGCCCACCACTGTCCAGTATATCCTTCACGTTTCAATAAAACAAACGTGAGGATTTCATCTTGAGGCCTGGGGACAAGTACAGCACAGTTCTTCTATTAGTTTCTAAACAAAAGGATAAATTAAAAAATGACTGACATGTTAACTAATGAAAAAGTTGTATCCCTAAAGTCTGTGAATAACTACTGAATAACTCCAATGCATTTATTAGTTTGTAAATTAAATTGGATCATGTAATTTTGCATGCTGTTCTGTAAAGTGCTCCTGACTTGCTGTTTGTATCCACACAAGTTAGTATGGAAGGAGGCTTGCTTGGTGCACATTCAGGGTAGCCTGATGGTACTGTAGATATGAACTGGAATCACTATCTCCCTGATATCAGCGAGGTCAGGTCCTCTACTGCTACATGGACAATGTGACCTGAACCTCAGTGAATGGAGGCCACTAGCCATGTCTCCACTGAAATGATACAACTCAACCTGGTTTAGTTTCTCACCAATGCTGCATGTGTGTTGGGGATGTGTCCTATTTACACACACATGTCCCTGAGTGCTCAGGGATGCTGCAGTACTCCTCTGTTAGCCAGCTCTGTGCAGACCATCCTACATCCAATACCTGAAGCATATTTGCTTTGTTAAAAATTCAGACCTGACTTACTGCTTCACTCTGCATCTGCACTCTGTACATACTGATGCAAAACGCAAAGGAAGACATTCAACTTCTATGGGGTTTAGTACTAATCACTCTCATAGGTGATATTTCAGCCTCCAGACATGCAGAAATACTCTGTGAAAACTATGATATACTGAAATACAGAAAGCTGCTACTTCTGGAATTCAAATTGCTGCAAGTCCAGCAGTTACTCAGACAGGACTACAATGTAATATAACTGTTAATGTAATGTTTTGCTTTTGAGTGGCACTTCAAGGACCATTACAAGTTCAACAGCAGCACCTTCACAGACAGATCCTGCATTGCTGTCATAGTGGCTGGATGGTGCAGATGGGAGTCGTTCTCATGTTCACAACATGCACATTAATCAACTCTGTATGGTTGTGGAGTTGGTTGTGTTTAGGTTAAACATATCATGCACTGGTGATAAATCACTATAGCCATTACATTTAGGTTTATTTACCTTGAATGCCAGACTTTGACTGATGTGATGCATCCAAATGTGTTTGACTTTCCAGGGACATTATCAAGGGAAAGTTTGAAGTATCAAGGGGAAGGATATATTGAAGCTTTCAGAAAACCAGATGCCAAGATGTTGATGTGAATTTGGAAGCCAGTAATCACAGACACCAGGAAAGATATTTTACCTTTTCATAAAGACCAATGAAACAAACCCCCTAAAACCCAGCAGCTAGCCTGAATGTCTGAATAATAATAATAATACTTTATTTATATAGCACTTTACAACTCAAAACAGGAGCACAAAGTGTTTCACAATAAACATGCATACCATAGCAAACCTTAAAAACAACAAGAAATAACATATCGAAAAGGTGGATGATAAAACAGCAAAAGAAAAGATACCCCCAAAAAACTGGGTTAGATGTCATACGCCCGTCTAAAAAGGTAAGTTTTTAGAGTTACCTTAAAAGGGGCCAACTCAGTTATGGACCGCATTTCTGGAGGTAACGAGTTCCAGAGCCTAGGGCCATAGCTGCTAAAAGAGCGATCGCCCCATTTTTTATAGCAAGGTGTCTGTGTTAACGTAGCAGTGAATAAAGGTCACTGTTGTTGCCTATCAGAGTTGACCTTCAGTCGGGTCAGGCAAGGTTTCCATGCTGATATGTGCACATACACACTAACGCACACACCCAGAAATGCACATGTAGGCAGTGGCATTCCACAATTATGCGTGTGCCAGTGCTGGCAGTATAGGTGGCCTTGAAACAATGGCTGACTGTTGCTCACACACAGCACAACTCATTTCCTGTCTCCCTTCATTCTTCTGGTTCTCACAAACCCTGAGTACCTCCACATGTTGCTCAGTATAGTTTGTGGTGTTACAGACATTTATTAACCACTGGGTCCCTCTGTTGGGGATCACTAGTAATGGCAGGAGCCATGCAGAGCTGTGATGCAGTAGCATCACAGCTCTGTTCTGCAATTGGCATACCTCAACTTAGTGTCAGTAATGCAAATGAAATGGCAGGTAAAGTTGTTAAACACGTCACTTTCTAATAAACTAGGAAAAAAGCCTTGTTTATAGAGTGACCTCAGTGTATTTTTCAAGCATGCTAAATCATGCAAAAAAAATTCTAAATCCACACATCTGAAAATAATCCAAACCTTATCACTTACTGGCTGTGCAGACATTTCAATAATAAATGTTATCTTATGATGACATTTAATGGCAAGATTTGTATGGCTAAAATTTTTGATCCAGATTATTGTAAATGTTTAAAAATGTTTGAAGCTAAAAGCTTGAGGATAACATTCAGCATTTGTTGGTTTTAAAAGGCTCTGTTGTCAAATG